AGAAACGTTGTAGATGAGATGGCTCAGACCGTGAGAGAGACTGTAAGATATAGGCCAAGCCACAAACCCTCCTTCTCCTCCTCCTCTCCCTCTCTCTCTCTCTCTCTCCTTCTCCCTCTCATATACACGGTACAGCTACCACCACTGATGCAGAGATACTACTAAACAAAACAAAAGCATACGACTGAATGAGTGATAAGGGAATAGTCATCTTGCACACTCACTATTCAGCCTGTTGTGTTGCTGATGCATGGAATATATGCATGGCAATAATTACTCCCATCTTTCCAAATACCAACCCTAATTACAATCAACTAAGCTTGTTTCTATGATGCCATCCGATACGGGAAGCATTCTTCTCTTGCTTTCCTCTTTCCGTGTGGTGTCAACATTCATTTTGGGCTTTTTGGTGGTATCGGAGAAAGTCGACATCAGAGTATCCATTAAAGGGAATCATGGTTTCCGAAATCCTCCAACCCTAACTTTTATGATGCATCAGCTAATTCAGCTGGTGACGGAATGTTCGAGGATCAAAGATCACCACTGTAGGGTGGGAGTTGGGTAGGGCTTGGGATCATATTGATTTGTCATGGTCAGCCATTGATCATTTCATTTATAAGCTCGCTTCAATGGCATTCAAGACTCGTAAAGCATGTGGTGACCATCATCGGTCATACTCGTTTGAAAGCTAACTAAAGCCATGAAGGAGATCAGTTCATCCTTGATGCCTTTCTTTCTTCTGGATTAGACTCACCCATACAGCTCTAATTCCAAAGTGATTCTTGTTCAGCATAAGAACAAGAGGATGGTGTCCAACAACAGATATTGCAAATAGTTTATTAGTTCATCTACAAATATGGTTTTGTGTGTCGTGACATTTTTCTGTCACAGCTTTTCAGGGCCAAATAAGATTTTATTCATCAAATACTCACATAAATGAAGTAAAATAAGAACAAATCAACATCATCATCCATACAAAAAGCTTTCATGTCCTTTCCTATTTGATCCTCTCACCGTATCCAATATTTGGTGGATTCTAATATCATTTTATTACGACCTAATCCGATGAGATAACTAATGTCATTCATGCAAAAGTTAATCTATGGAGAAGATCCCCAATGAGGTTCTCACATAATAAGACTTATTAGCACTATAGCATTGTTATGGGACATCACAAATAATCAACCTTTATGAAGCTTGTTGGATTATTATCTGATTGATGCAGTTTATGGTCCTCTGATATGACCACATCAGGACTAGTAATCGACGAAATAGAAGATTATATGCTTAGATATTTACTACAAGTAGTAATATATGGAAATGATGTGCATCAGCTATGAGTCCTCGGAACTAAATCTGTGATCACTGATCGAAATGGGAGAGTGGGATTGGTATGTTAGACACTATACTCGGTGAAGGCGTTCAGGTGAAACGTGCTTTGCTGTAGAAGCTCGAGTGCAGATTGAGATGTCACAGGGAGGAAGGAAGGCCATGGAGAAAGGGCGTGATTTGGATAGATACGGACTATCTGGGCGACGTCGTTTTCCTCAAGCACGCACCGAAGGGATAGAGTTGCTTTGTGTGAGTGTCATCGGGTGGTGCACCCAGTGGCCGGTGAAAACGACTCCCCCATGTGTTCCCTCTCCCTCCAACTGAGACACCTCCTCCTCCTCTCGTAACTTCGAAGCGAGAGAGAGAGAGAGTGTGTGTGTGTGTTAGTGGTCGTCATTTCCAATGAGAGAGATAGAGAGAGAGAGGAGGAGGAGAAAGGGCAGAGGAGGTGGGGGAGAGGAGGGAGAAAGGGACGTTTGCATGGGCCGCTTAGCTTTCCCAGCTTACTCTGCTGTTGTTCTCGCAGTAATGAGGAGGAGGAGACGAAAAAGAAGGGTAAGAAGGGGACAAAGAGAGAGAGAGAGAGAGAGATGAGGAGGTCGGCTTTCCCGTTTCCCGGATGCTCTCTTGTGCCTCGTGGGCAATAGCTCAGATAGCTGCAGCGCCGTGGTAATATAATTCAGCTACTGTAGAGGGGGGGGGGGGGGGAGGGGGAGGGCTCAGCCCTCCGCCTCCGTCTCCGCCTCCTTAGGGTGACATTTTTGTCTTTTTACGTCCTCCGCAACAACCAAACCTGCTGGCCATGGCAGTAAAGAAACAGACACACACTGAGTTTTCGAAGAGAGAGAGAGAGAAAAGAGAGGAGAAAGAGACCAAAGCCTCGCACTTTTCATGATTTGACCTCACCCCTCCTCCTCTTCTCTCACTCGGTAACAAAACAGCAGGCAGCAGCTGCTGCAGCAGACACAGATCCTCCACTCCCTCTCTATCTCTATCAATCTTCTTTACCACCCTCTGTCCTTCTCCAAGAATTCTCTTACCTTCTTTTCCCTCTTCCCAGCATGCTTAAATCTAGACAATATCATCCGTCTCACATTCCCCCGTCGCAGAAGCCGAGGCAGGTTGAACTTACGTCCGACCCACATGGGTTCGCCCCAACCATTCCCCCTTTCTCCATTTACACTAAAGCCTGCACTGCTCCATGCCCACACCACACCCCCCTTTCTTTAGCTCGTATCCCGGGCTGCCATGAAGATTCCCAATGTATCCTTGCATGGCCAGCAATATGTCCGAGTGGGATCATGTAGCCCCCCCATGGGGAGCTGACCACTGCTTCAGGAGACCATTCACAACACTGTTTTGGTGTTGTTATTGGGCTATGATATCTGAATGCAGTCGTGTCTTACGCTCAAGTGGCTTCAGAGGTGGATTAATGCCAAAGTTGATAGACCCCTTCCTCCTTCCTTAGGGTTAATAGGAAAGGGCAGAGACGTATCAGTGATCAGCTATGGCTAACGCAGGTGATGTGGGTGGTGCAAGTGGTGGTGGTGGGTGGCACTCAGCCCTATTGAATGAGCTTTAGCATCATGAGTAACTCGTTATACGAGAATTTAGCAACTTGTCCTCTCTCACCGCACCAACCCCCTTCAGCTCCTCGCTGCCACCCCTACGCATAGTGTGTGCTTTCCGCCATTTCTGTACTTGCTCTTGTAGCCCCCACCTCGCTCTCTCTCTCTCTCTCTCTCTCTCTCCCCCGACTCATGTGCTGCATGAGGACACGGTGCTATGATGAACCCTGTCGGTGTAGAGACCAACGGAGGGAGGAGGGTGAGAGATGGTGAGAGGAAATCGAGGAAAAAGAACCGGGGGAGAGTTAATGCTCGTACTGTCCCTGTTGTTGCTGCCGCTGCTATGGTTTTGTTCGCTTGCCCCCTGGCCTGATCAGCTACATCTTCTCCATCCCACCATTCATCTCTCTCTCTCGTTCTACTCATTACATTCCAACCACTCATTTGAAGCTCATGTCTGTCTTCTATGCAACCATCGTACAGAGTTCAGAGGGGGCTCAGCTGCTTCCAAGCATTCTACTACGTGGCCAGCTATTGCATTGAAAGGTAGATATCAGGCATCTACTTTATGCTCATGCCTTAGGGTAATTCAAGACTTGCCCAACCCTAAAGTCAACTTAGATTAAAAGGAGCCTTTATAACGAAAGCATGAGACAGAAGTTAGCTGGCACTCTCCTTCCCCTTTATATCTCTCTACATCTAAGTATACATGCTATGTGTATTGAGAGTATATGGTAATTAAAATGAGTCATTTTGCAAGCAAATACATCTTATTTGCAGACATACCAATTTAAGGCAATCAAATGGGCCATGAAAATATATAAATAAAAGGATCTAAATATGTATAACCATATAATCATCTGTTATGTATGTCCATTTTTTTGTATCTATGCCTTTCAATGAAAATGTTCATGATGATGATGATTACAGTTTTAGGAGGATTCTTGTGGAATTATAAATGAGGAGAGAGAGAGAGAGAGAGGTGCTCACATTCTTAGTCTGCTTAATATATTCTGGCTTCATGCAGTTCACAATGCTTTGCATGGTCGGTGCTCATCATTTATTGTCAATTATGTTGCTCAGCAACAGTGTCCCCTTTGACTACCTCTGCTGCATCCACTGATGCTGACAAGCAGCTGCCATGCCAGTCTAATGCTTAATCTGTACATCTAACTCCATGCACACATACACATATCAGCAGCATGCATGATCTCTTTTCCCTGGCTAATCTTTTGACACCATGCAATCAGGAGCTGATGAGTGCTCGCTGAGTTCTTAGGCTTCTGTCTTTGTACATCAGAAGACTTTGTTCCTGCCCAACACATCAGTGGCTTCTCACGATCCAAGTGAGCGCAGGATGTCTTCAGTGTCTGAGAACTACTTCAGATTGCAGAAGACGATCTATAAAGTTGTCGATGAAACTCCTTGGCTTCCTGCGTGACAGAGATCGTGTTAATGCTTCCATTCGCATGTTTATTATCCCAAGGTCTGTGAATTCAAATGCTTTATCTCATCTCATCTCATCTCATGAGCCCATGGGAGCCACGACAGGGATGATGTTGGGTCGGATCTAAATCCGTAACCGATGAGCTTATACCCGACACGTTATCGGATGTAGAGTTTGGATAGGGTGGTGGATTTGGGTCGACCACCCACGCGCCGACGATTCTGCCTTCCTTCCAAAGGCCGCGTGGCCCATCTCCATCCCTGCCGCCACCTCAATCTCAGGATAGTGGTTCTTCTAGACCAGGCTCTTTAACACAGTAAAAGATGGAGCAATGTTCTCAAGAATGTAGATAGTGACTGTTGATCTTCTAATACACGAGTGCTTGAAGCACACTAAAAGGTCTTTCTATCATTACTTATCATTTTGCTCCTACGTAATTTGCATTGTTTAGAGACTGGTATTGCCTAACTTGCTTTGATAATACTAGTAGAGAATCAGGCATATCTCTCTCTCTCTCTCTCTCTCTCTCTCTCTCAGGAGAACAAAAGGATCCACACAGGACTTTGTTGCTTGCTTCTGAAATAGTAATGGGAACTGTAATGGCAAGAAATGAACAAGCAGCCATATACTGTAGAAGACATTAGCTACATGGCAGCAAATACTGCTCCGAAACAATGGACCAAATAATGGAGTCCATTATGTCTCAGATTTCTCTTCAATGGAGACCGAGTCAGTTACTCGAACCCTCGGCCTCCTCATCCATCTGATACCTTCTCGACAAGTAGAAGCTCTTAACATGATACAGAGGCCAGAAGCAATCCCAGACTGTTCTCGTGGTTTATTATGTACATAAATCTGTGATCTTCGGATTTTTGGTAGCTATTTACCTCCTAATTAAAATCAGTATAACTATATGTATGGGCTTCATTTCCACAGCTCGGTTTGGCCACCACTGGAGTTGGAAGCCGAAGCATGCTCCACATTTGCTTCAAGCTTTTGGAAGTCGCTTCCAGAACTGGAGCAGTTGAGTTCTCTGCAGACGTCGCCATGGCTGAGTTGGGATGCGACGAACTTGTCGAACACCCTCCAGTCCGTTGCCTGCTCCGCTGCATGATGAATGATACCTTGGGAGTTGTTGCAGGTGGAGAAGATCTGGAGCTGCTTACTGGGCTGGATCATCGGGTCTTCTTGCGCGACGAGGGAGAAAGGAAGGTTGGGGCTCTCCAGCTGGGGGAGCTGGAGGAACGAATCAAACTGTGGCAAGTGGTGGTGGCGCACCTCCAGCTCCGGCTTGCAGGAGAAGAGTGGGTGGTGGTGGTGGTACGCCATCTCCGGCGGGGCTCCTACTTGCTTCGGAGAGTCGAGCTCCGGCGTGAAGGACACATGATGGTCGTACCAGCATGCAGAGTCGTGCTCACTGGCTCTTCTGATGACCGGTGCTATTCTCTTGATGAAAACCCTACACACAACCCATCCCTCTTCCTGAAACATGGAAGCAATTATAGAGCACGTAAGTTGTCATGCATGCAGACGGTCTCTGGAAACGATTGCTTGCTGAGAAGGAGAGGAAGAACTTGCCTGGGGTGGCGCGTTCTCATTTGCTTCAAGACGGTATTCGTGCATGATCCAATCCGACTTCTGCCCGTTGGGTGCTCGACCCCTGTAGAAGACCAGCGTCTTCCTCATTCCGATCAAGCTGTTCTTGGAGTAGATCGGCTTGTCCCTCCCGGTGGCCTTCCAGAAGCCAGCAGTGGTTGCTCTGTTGGTCCGCGTCCCCGTTGGGTACTTCTTGTCCTTGTGGCTGAAGAAGTACCACTCGTTCTGTTCTTCTGTACCAATCTTGCATTTTACTGCCTCGAGAAAGTAGAACAAAACCATGATTTCGATCGAAAGATGGCATAAAATCTAGATACGTTACCGAACACAAAGACTGATGGAAGAGATACCTTGAAGGTCCCATGGCTCGATCTTGTACAGATCGATGTCTTTTATGATGTCCAGGTCAATCCTTCTTGATGCTACCTTCTTCCTGAGGTAATAATCCACGAGTTCTTCGTCGGTCGGGTGGAACCGAAACCCTGGAGGAACATGAGAAAGGGTGTCCATCTTCCCTGGGCTTTGTATGGCAGCTGCCTGCAAGATCATTCATGCGAAGTGATTTAAAGTGTGGTTAAGTTCTGCAGATGTGACTTCCAGGAGAATTAGACATTTGCTGAGCTTGTTTCGAGTAGTGATCCAGCAAACATAAGCATGTATTGAGATTGGAATGCCAGATCGAATTTGAATAGGACTCCATGCACAGGAGGAAGTAAAGAGTGTGAGAGGTGACGTCAAATATTCAGAGTAGAAGAGGATATCAAGATGCTATTTAGAAAAGATTCATAGCTTCTTTCCCCTACCAATGTCTCTGACTCAAAGAAATGAACAATCAATGACTCATTCCAAGAAATGCTCATTTCTGGAAGACAATGCAAGAGCTTTATATTCCGAGAAATTTAACATAGTAGTCTACAGTTGTAAGATGGGTATAAACAAAAAAAAGAAAAAGCACTTGAAATAAATGTTGTCTGTGGATTAGAAAGCATGTGACATGGATAAATGTTGCTATTAGAGGAGCAACAAGTGATTCATGATCAAAACCTAGTTGTAGGGCTCAAGATTCTTGCCTTATCATTAGAAGAACATGGTAGTTCAGGCAATTATACATGCTGTAATATGCAGACTACCGAAGTGCATAAATGCATGTTATCTGAGAACTAATGTGATCGTCGAATGAATAAAGCAACAATGTCCCTTTACACAGAAGAATACCACAGAAGGTAATCAAAAAAGGTTACAAAAATTATATATATAGAGTGAATTCATGACATGTTCTTGAGGTAATCTCTTATCGTTGATGGCCACAAAGGAAAAGATCTATTCTGACAATATTGGCTTGATCAGCTAGAAAAGCTTTAGAAAGCATCAAACAAACATAAAGATCTACATCAACATCTAAAAGACTGGGATGATCGAAGCTCCTCATGCAATAAAAAGGCAATTATGTACCGATATATCATGAAATCATACAAATCGTATCACCTTCAATCTGTGACCAGAAAATGCAAGCTCAGAAGCATAATTATGTGTGTGTGTGTGTGTGTGTGTGTGGAGAGAGGGAGGGAGGGAGGGAGCTGAGAGTGGGAGAAGGAATGGCTCTTACTGGTTACCGAAGAGTGCTGAGACTGGTTGGCGAAAAGGTTCCAAGTACGTGGAATGAATGCTTTGGCTCGGACACGCCTGATCCCGGAGTCAGTCCCGACAGAGAAGATGGAAGACTTTTGCTGCTATTTTAGTATATCTTCGATCGACAGAGACCTCGTGAAAGGAGTCATTTGTGCCAAAGCCTTCTCTCTATGGGGCACCGCGAGGAACAACGACGCCCCCACACGGAGAGGAAGACTTAGAGAGAAGAGGCGATGGAGTCGGGTGGAGGCGGAGGAGGAGGAGGAGGAGGAGGCAATGGCGTTAAATAGCAGCAGGTGAGCGATGGTCGAAAGAACAGAAACTATATTTTAGTCAGCGCCGGTTGCACTTTCAGCAGGGGGTGCTGCAACCTTCTTGATACGCGTATCGGTGGCGCGATGGATTGCGGGGGAAGGCTACGGAGGCAGAGAAATGACGCCGCAATGGCCGGAAAGAGCAAAAGCTCCTCTTTTCCTTCCCATTGGCCTTCTTGGCCGCAACTGCCACCACCTCCACCCGCCACCGATAGCGACCAGAACGTCAAAAGGTCACGACCCAGCTCTCCTCCCTCTCACGGCGGAAGCAACGTAACAAGCTGCCTGCAGCTTCATGTAGAAGCGGATGACTGAGATAAAATAGTAAAAAAGTAGCAGGCAGCCACTCATCACAGAAAGACAAGCTTTGGTAGCCATGGCTGGGCGAAGGGCATTTGAGGGAAATCCAACGTAGCAAGTGGCGCGGGGGACCGCTTGCTTCTGCTCTCAGTGGTTGGTTGGCTGTCTACAAATAATTCCTCCTCTTTCTTCTCCTCCTTTATTTCTTTCTACTGCCTCCCCAGCGTCCAATAATATATTACTTTTTGTTGCTTTGATCGATCAGTACGACTGCTGAGGAGAGGGGAGAGAGTCGTTCTCTGGTGGTGGGGTTCTCTCGGACCGACCTAAAGCATTCCAACGGAGACCGCTCTCCGAATACAAATCCAAACCAACAGAACGACGACGACTTGGAAAGCATACGACTTCGACGTTGACGCTTTCCCGAGCCAATAAGCCCTTCCGATAGGAAGGAGAGGCGTGGGCTTCACCTGTCATTAGAGCCTGGCCTCGCAGGACTCACCAAGTCAAGCCACCTCCCGGTTGACGCGTGGCAATTTTTTTTTGACGCAGTGTTTGGTGTTTGAAGTATAGATTTGGGGTTTGGGATACGTATACGGGTAGGTATGCGTGTTTGGGGCAGAAGTGAAGCAAAAGTATCACACGCGATGCTACAGTCACCTCTGGCCTGGCCGGTGTCATATCCCCATCCCCTCCGTGGTGGCCAGCAAAAGTATCACACGTCAAGCATCTTGTGCATGAAACGTGTTGCCATGTCATCGCTATGACAGGATGACAGTTCATGATAGTTCAAGTGAAGAGAAGTTGCCCTGCGTTTCGGTCCGATGTGGCAGGCACAGGAGGTGGGGCAGTCTTCCTCTACAAGCGGCGGAGCCAATGGGGAGAGGGTTGCGGCTTCCCCAATGCACGTCGGGCCCCACCAGCCACCTCCTCCTCTCTGCCATGATGGCTTCCCTCCTCCTTCCTTCCCCCGTCTCCTTATACGGTCTACTTCCGTCTTTCCAGTAGATCTTTACGGATCTCAGAGGGCCCTAAGTGTAGCTATCTTCTTGGATGTACTTCGAGAGCTATATCTCCGACTAAATCCTTGAGACCCCACTTCCAGTGTATTCTTATCAGGTTTGGTTTGGTGGCCAAGGATTTGCACCCTTGCACACCAATGCTTCATACCTTTGTCTTCCTAGGAAAGGGAATATATAAATATATATATATATATATATATATATATATATATATTTCTTTTTTTGTCTTCAACCTACACAGTATGATATACTAAGCACATGCTGCCATCCAATTTGACTGCCATGAAGGTTTAAATGTGTGGATCCTCCTTTCTTGTCATGCCTAATAATAGCTGTAGATTTTCACTGTACACCTTAAAGCAAGTGCCATTAATGTGTGCATCTTGTTGTACATTGGTTAACAAAAAGAAAAAGGAAAGACAAGACTTATGCTTGATGGACCTAATGATGGAATTATAGTGTTTCCTATGTTCACTACTTGGAGCACTGGGAAGAATGGGGTTGAGAAATAAACTGAGACATGGTCACCTAAAGATAGGAACAATGAGGAAGAGGACATGATTGCTTTGGGTTTGTGTCCCATCAAAGTGTAGTACATATTATAGCAATGGAGTATGGTTGAAAACAACAACAAAGAGGAGAGAAGGCATGGTACATGGAATGATGAGAAGCCACTCGAAGCTAGGATGAGATCTTTGATCAAATTGTCATCACTCCAAGACCTTGAACTAAAATTGGCATGAATCTACATGTACCACTGTGTTGTGCATTGCAAATTATCAGTGATTACTTGACAATAGAATCACATATAAATGTTCATGCATCATGCTACACTAGAGGCACATTACAAATGACAAATTGCTAAGGTTGATAGTAAGCATTAGCAGCAGGTGACATCTATTTGTCTACTTTATACTACTTTGATCATAATTAGCTGTCATTAACCCTTCAATTTTCATGTTAAGTTTGGTAACCAGACAAATTTGGCCCATTCCTTCAGCCTAATTCACCCAACCAGACAATAAGCAAGTAGTAGGTTTGAAATGATTTTGACAAACTATGGTTACATTTTTAGTTAAACATATCATATTGACTTGTATTCTGAAACTAATTGCACACATCTAATAAACATGCTCCACTATAGGTAAAAGCTTATCATACTAGTTATGCTTGCTTTCTAGAAATGTGAATATATTTCACAAATTTAAGGCAGTTTAAATTAAAAAAAAAAAAAAACTGTTAAGACATCAGCTAAAACATGTCTATGAACAATCACACAAGAAAAGATATAAGCATGTATAATTTCTTTTGCAACAAATCATAATTAATTGTTTACTTACGTAGAATGAGTGCGGCTACTAAGATAGAGTTTGAGGTGATAACAAGATCAAGCACTGTATCCTCGATGGACTCCACATAGCTATGTTGTTGCTCTTACACGTACCAGAACAAGCTGCTTCCATAACATTCATCGAGATACCTTCATTGCATGTGTTTGCAAATGTCCCCAAATGTTTCATGCCAGACTGAGGGAGGGATCCATGATGTGATTCAAATACCTGAACCTGTAAGTCATTCTTTGCTTTCGAGGGGACATGCTCAAATGTAATAAATAGAGTGTAGAAATAAGAAGATAAAACAACAGACCCATAAACTCCCTCCTTCCTATCCAAATATCTATATCTAAATTGTCATGCAACAATGAACACCATGAGATGAAAGAAAAATAGAACACTTAAAGAGGGTGATTTTACCATCGACTTCAAGCATTCCCAATCATCAACCAGTGTTTGACCAGATGATCTCACAGCTCTGAGGTTAAAGGGACCAATTTCTGTGATCCAAAAATTAGATTCCCGAAGTAATTAATGCTACTGTGCATCATTGTCTCTGTGATCTCCTTAAGAATAGCCTTCTTTTGGGTTAACCTTTCATCCAATTGTTCGTACTGAAAACAATAAAAGATAACGTTTGTATTTATTAAAAAAATGATCATTCGGGAAAACAATTTGCATGGAGAGATTCAGAAGATCACATTCATTGTTAACGTATTGAAGTCAACCAACCAAAGCACAAAAGATTTGCACTGCCTGTTAACACATAACAGATGCTAAATTCACATCTTAATGTACCATATTCAAATCAATAACTAAAATGTATGCTACCGTAATGTCTACTTTTCATAACACAGGACATCCAAGAATACAAGTTTTTTTCTTCTCTTCATCTGTTCAGTCAATCATAACTACAACAGAAATATTGATGGTGCTCTCAGATTTCAAACTCTATAATTCTGTCATTATCACCTCGGTTCTCTATCCACTCTAAGGATATCCACCAGTGTTACCTGGATTTTCTCACCCTCTAAAAGTCATATTGGATAGATATCTCCACAAGGGATATCAATGGACCGTCCTATTTCACAAAAGTCAATTAAAGGATAACACAGATGACACCAACTCAATTACCCATGAACCCAAGGCCAACCTCATAAAATTTTGTGCGTAACACATATATTTTTAACCATGCAAAGATCCCTAATTCCTATTTATGTTTTACCACAAGTTAACACTAACCTCCTTGGTCCTGCTTCCTTCCGTCATAATCTGGCTTCTGTTTATCAAATAACTAAGAGAATCATTACCGATTGTTGAGTCTTTGAATTTAAACATTACCATGGATGGAAGAGCACAAGGTAAAAGTCAACAAAAACAAAGGAAAAATTACGACTCACCCTTTTCCACAAGAAGAGAAGATCAGCATCTCTGATTGATGGCCCCCATCTGCATTCTTAGATCAACGACATTCTCAGTAACATTGGCATTAGAAGGGTCAAAGCTCTGGTAAAAAAACCCGGCTCTATAGGTGTCATAACCGGATGTCCTCATCTTCACCTGAACACCTTGCAGAAGAACACATACAGTGAGAAATCCAAAAAGTAGGATGATAGGATCTATGATAGAGGTTGATCAGAAACTTACCAGTTCATACTGCTTCCCAATGGTCTCCTCCTTTAGATTGTGGACGTCACTGCAAGAAGCATAACTCAAGGTGAGTGGCACATTCAACCTATTTTACAACTGACCAACCAGTCAAGACTACAAAAGGGAATGTCATCAGAGGGGAAATTATGGTTTTTCTGTTTTATCTTCTAAATTTTCCTGATACTTTTGCCACTTTAAGCTATAGCACAAAAGGATGCACTAGACTATGGCTTCTGGAAGAGTTAAAAGTAAGAGCTGCTACCTTGTGATACCATTGACCAATCCAGAGCATTTATGTATTAAGTTGTAACAGAAAGTTTTTCATTTGATATCAGTCTCACTGTTCTATATGAATATTCTTTCATTGGACAAGAACTAATAATGGCAGTTTCACTTTGAAATTGATGCATGCATATGAAAAATTATGATAGTTACAAAGGATATGTATTATGTAGTGCAATGCAAATATAGAACTTGATAAACCAAAACGATATTGAATCATACAAGAAAGACCTTGATGAGGTTTAAGAAACATTTGGTTATATTTCTTACAAATACATGTTCCATCAAAATTCTTGAACACACGATCAGCTTATTGTTCCCAACATGATCTACCACAATGAGATACTACAGCCACGAGACATAGTACTATGATAATAATAAAAATGCTATACATGCACAAAATATATCACTAAAACCCTTGATGTTTTGGCATCCCCAGGGAACCCCTTGTGGTGCCCATCTGTTGCTGACATGGCACTTGACACTGGACCCTGAATCAGAAAACTTATGTGCCACATGGCATTCATGTGATGACACCCAGCTGCCTCATGAATGTCACATCATCAGCACTACCTCATCAAGGAATTGAGGTATACACATTGCATGTATGAGTAGCAGTCCTGAATAATGACACCTAAAATTTGTCTAATCTTCATTCATGAATAACACTGCAACATGCAACTTACATCGAATAGATAATCTCAACATAAATAAATAAGCAAATGATAGTAGTGCATGCATAGACTATACTTGTCAGGCTATATTAACATAAATTCTAGTTGATGATTATTAATTTAATATCAGTTAAATTTGATGGACTAACAGATCCTAAATCACTTGATAATCATAGTTAAATATTTTTAGAGATTAATTCCAAAAACAAATTGCCTGGACTTCTAATCACACTAGTCATTTCGAGATTCTATGTCTAAACACAAACCTGTCCTCCATCCATGCAACACTGTACAAATCACCAAGGCAAATAAAAAATTCAGGAGGGGGAGGAGGATCCATCCCAGGACAATATGTACCCCAACTGCTTTCCACAGAATTTGATGGTGTTGTCACATATATGTTCAAGTCTTCTGGCATTAAACCTTCAAATATGCTGCCGCTCTCACATGCTTCTATATAGATAACCGGTTTAAGAAACCATTAGCTACAATCACCAATTCTCTGTGTCGCAATGACAGCTGATATCTTGTGGCCCTCTCACCATTTCTTTGTAACTACTGGATGCATGTTCTTCTTCAATACTTCAATGAAATCAGCAGCGAAAAGATATGGCATGTTGGGCATTCCTAAGTCGAAATAGTGTCAGCATACATGATCAGCAATGAAAATTGTTTCACTGGCATAGGACAAAAGAGTGGGAACTTACCAAGGACCCCAGGGCCTCCATGGTCTGAGTAGTAGATGAGTATTCTATCATCTGATTTGCTGTCTATGACCTTTCCACTTCCACCTTCTATGTCACTCTTATTACCCAAAAGCATAGCATACAAGTTCTTCGTAGTGACTTGCTCCCTGGTGTAGTCCTGAAGTCAATGTATACTGTTTTAACAATAAAACTGAATTTCAAATAATAGCATAATCATAACAACTAACTCTGTTGAACACAGAGATCAATGAGACGACAATTCTGAGACCCTCTAATTTTTCTTTTTTTAGTGTTAGAGGTGTAAGAGAAGTGAATTGGTTGAGCATATAACCTGAGACCATCAAACTAGTGGGTTTGATGAAAGTAGTCTGACATGAGCTCGAAGGGGAATGCAGCAATCAGAAGTTTGTCTCTCGCCATTCTCAACTAGATTAAATAATCTCCCACTAAATTGTTGGGCCTTATTTTTCACATACTTAGACACTACAAGATCCTGAAAATCTAGAAAAATTTGAAGTCTACACTGCCATTGTGAAAATACGGCCTTGAATTTGAGCCAAGTCCTGCTTGATAACTAGAATTTATTCTGTGAAGAACATTTCGAGCAATGTAGGAAATCAGCAGGCTCCAAAAGTAAATAAACACACACCTATCGGGGCATATATCTTCAATATGATGTCACACATCAGCTAAGACAATACCAACTTATACCTTCTTTGTTTGGTGAAATTTTTAAAAAGTTGAATGTATGCAAAATTTGATGCCACTATTCAGGTCAAAAGTTCAAATCTCTCATAATACATCTATTATCGACCTATAGCATATACAACTTTAATCAAGATCTGTGTCCTTTCCACAAACCAAATCGACACCTTCTCTGTTTCCACTAATGGACCTACTAAAAGACCAAATGGATGCTTAATGTTCTTCAATTCTGCCTGGAAGGATAAGCCAAGCATCTCTTGGTCATTTCTGCTATAGCAAGACCACGAGAGGCCCCTGTAGCCATACAGTGAAGAGGTTCATATGTGGGGATCAAGCAAAAATTGAGGAGTTCACGAGACACTAAGGATTAATGAAGAACAACCGAAACGAGAGGAGTCCCAGCGGCGGGTGTACCTTGGGGACCCCAGCGTAAACGTCTTGGCCCTGGGGGTGGTTGATGATGACGCCCTGCCTCGGGTTGAGGGGGTTGTGGGCGATGTCGTCGTGCATCATCACCACTATGTTCTCCCCCCTCAGCCCGCCTCTCAACAGCAGCTGATACGCATGGCACACCTCCGCGTATATGTCCACACAAACACACCCACGTCCTCATCGTCGTCGTCGCACATGATGTGTTCTTCGAATTCACTCCACCGCCAAGAACAGGGAGTGCGCTTAGTTACCTGGTGCCGGTAGTTCCCGTAGCCGGAAGAGCCGGCCACGAGCAGCGCCGAACTGGTCGGCGGCCGCCTCCAGTCTCGGGGTCTGGCCTACCCGAGGGCAACTGGATGGCCGGGTCCCATGGGCCAGGCGCCCTACCGCGCCTCGGGTTGGGGGCGGCGACCAACATCACCGGCAGCAGCGTCGTGGCGAAGAAGTACCGGGCTCGCTCGGTGGCCGAAGGGGATGAACTCGTCGCCATGCCTCGCGGTGGGAGAGGAGTCGACCTGAGGGGTCTTCCGGGAAGGGTTTAAAAGAGAAGTGGAAATTAGGGTTCGAAGACGAGATAAAAAGAAGAGGCGGAGGAGGAGGAGCCGTGGCCAATGCTTGACGCGTCCTGTTCCTCACCAGGTCGCAGCGCCATGCAGGAGGGGAAGACACGTGGGAGGCGTGCCAGCGGGTCCCGCTCCGTTTCGAGGGCTCCATTACCGTTCTCGTCTCCTCGATTGTGATGTCTCCTTTTTCTTCGGTTACCTCATTCATACTTTGCTCATGTTGTTGCCTTCGTCGCTTTCACTGCGACTGCGAGGGGGGCGGTGTGGGGGAAGGGGAGGTGGTGCTCCTCCGCACGGACACCGCCGCGCGGGTGCCGAGTGAAGCAGAAACGCCAACTCGTGCGACGGATTGGAACCAGAAACGCCGTCGCACCGACCTGTGGGTAAATCCAGTACGAAGATCCTCACTTTTCCTACCGCGTCATATCAATTGCCGGAGAAGGGCACCGACCTGTGGGTTCGACCTCGGCCGTCACAGACAGGTGACGACGGTTCGCTTGGAACCGGAACAAATCAAAATCGAAATCCGAGCCGCTCAACGGTTCCACGGGTCAGAACCGAACCGGATCCGAGACTATTACCGCCTGTGTCAATTATCGAAAAATAGGACCGACTTAAGGGTTCAACCTCGGTCACCACAACGCTGGTGACCACGGTTCGATTTGAACTATAATTCGAATCGGTCAAAATTGAGACACGAACCGGTCAATGGTTCCATGATTTCAACCGACTAAAAAAGTTAAAAATTAAACATTAAATATTTTTAAAAATCAAATTTGTAATGGAAATCATTTGGAATCTATTTGATTTTAATTTTCTTTTTTTTTTCTCGAAATCAAAATCATTGATTTTAGAATCACAATTAGGGCACAAGCCAAAAGGGTTCATCCAATATATATTGTGTGTCACATAAATTATATTACGAGTAAATTTTCTATAAAAGTTCTTAATTTGGGTTTTTATGATAGTACCTCATTTTATTTATTAAAAAAAGAGAAAATAATCTAAAAATTCAAGAGCTTTTTTTCCTGATTGAATTCAATCTTTTTTATTTTAAAAATTAATTTAATTAATTTAAAATTACTTTAAGTTGATATTATGCAATGATAAATAAATAACTCTTTTACTAATAAAATAAAATAATCATTAAAATAACATAAACTAAAATAATAATCAAATATCATAAAATTATTAAAAAAGCTAGAAAATCTTCTATTATTTAGTTTTCATCATATGGTGCTCCTTTTATTAAAAAAATACTCATGATATCTCTTATTTAAATATCACTTTTATTCTCTTATTATATTTTTTTTAATTATCTAAACCGATTCCACAAATTGATTTAGATCGACTCACTTAATCAATCATCTTCTTCTTCGTCTAAACATTTTTCACATTCTCTCATCTCTCCTTAGCCCTTTCCTTTTCACCCCTTTCAATTTTTTTACTTCGCTTACACCTATTATCTCTTCTTATCTTCCTCTCATATACCTCATTTCTTCTTTCATCTTCCTCGTCGTGTAAAGATGATAACAAAAGAGTAATAATAAAGAGGTGATAGTCGAAAGATGATAGATTAGAGGAGCAAGAAAAGAAAAAATAAAGAAGGATCAAAAGTATATTTATTCATTTATTGAAAAAAAGACATCCCAGTCTAAATTCTCAAAGTTAGTATTATTTTGGATAAATTATCAAAAAATAATTATATATTATTAATTATAATAAAAAATAAATAATAACACATTTTGAATGATATAACAATTATGAAATAAAATCAACAAAATATAAATACTAAATGATAGAATAATTATCACTTATTTTAATATTTTAATAATTTAATATTATTTATTATAAAAGTAGTAGTATAATATATATAATTTTAATCATAGCAAGGTCACCGACTTTGTAGCTTTGTTAAGATGGATTTATAGTACATAAATAGTTGAATAGAATAATATATGTAGATATTGTGGTGGATTATTGTATATGTTAATTACATTAGTCTGCAGTTAAATAAACATAAAAAAATGTGTACGTGTCCCCACCGTTGTCGTTTCAAGTTGTCAATTGTCCGGACCTAATTGGAGCTCAACCAGTGGAGCCGAGCCGAGCCGAGACCTCGGTCTGACGTTCGAATGGCGTATGAACAGAAGCAACGCGGACTCGGGAGTCCTCCATCCAGCCTCCTTTATAAGGGCCGCTCGTGTCTCCGAGTTCAACCCTCCCCCCCAACCTCCTCTCTTCGCTCGGCAAAGCCCTAACCCATCGTCCAGCCGTCCGACGCAACTCACCTGTTTCGGGAGCTGCCGACTTGTCTCGCCGGTCACCGGTACGCGATCTTCCCTCTCTCTATTCGTTTGGTCTTGAAGGTAACTATCCTGTCGTCGTCTATTTTTTTTTCCTTTCATGTTTATCACCGTCCTTTTCTTGACGATTATTGCGTGCAAGACGACGCCATTGGTTGCAAAATGTTAGAAATCGTTTTCCTGCATATCCGTTTTTTCTTTCTTTCGTTAATTTCAAGAATTAAACGTCTTGCGAGTTTGGTGCAACCTATTCCTCGTCCCTTTTATGTTACTGGATCTTTTTGGTGGTCGGATGTCCAATAGATCGCAGTTTCTCGGATATTTAAGATCAAGTCTTGAATTTTTTAAAAGAATTTGAAGATTCTATCTAAAGTCATGCCTGTTTCAGTGTTTCATTCTCGGGTCTAATGTGAAACTCCATATGAGCTGACGCAGTTGACGCAGGAATTTTGTTACGATGGATACAGATTCAAGCACACCCACAGAATCAGGTCTTTCATGTGCTCGGTGTGGCAAACCAGCTTATCTTCAGTATGTTCTCTAACATACGCCATCATATTATTAGAAGTATATGACACATGCTGATTACTGTTTCCATAATTTTTTTCTTAGTTTAGAAGTTGGAAATTCGAGTTACTTGGTGACATGCCATATAATTTGCATCTCTGTCTACCATTGTCACAAAAGGGAAGGTATAGATGCCTACGCTACAATTCGTGAACGTTATTGATACAGTGCATGAATGTATTATGGCAAAATGACCAGTGAGGAGATTGCCATTGGCACAATGAATTTCTCAAGTCAATCCAAATGAGCTAATGTCTAATAATTTTCTAATTCTTGAATCACAGTGGATTTTTGTCCATCTGCTTGTTTTAAGTAAATCATGATCTGGTGAAGATATACATGGAGCAGCAAGCATTTTGATGAATTATTGTATGTCTTATACTATTTAAGAGGATAATAATGCTTATTCCCAGAAGCATACTTTCGTATTCTCTGTCCATTCATGTTCTAGAGGTTACTTTAAAAGATCTAAGGAAAGAAAAACCAATTCCCAGAAGCTTTTAGTTGTGTGATACAAAAGGTGGAAATAATTGATTACTTGAAATAATATGAGGTGTCAAGCCTTCGGGTAAAACTTGTTATTAAATATAACTATGTATAAGCAATATTGAGTGTTTCGTTATTGTTGCGGTTTGAATTTTTTTTATTGTTGTGGTCAACGAGTTTAAAGAAATGTTATACACCAAGTTTTGTGGGTTTGAGGACTATTATGCAGATGTGAAAAAAACTGAGGGATTAATTTGCGCATATGAAACATTTTGGGGATTGGTGTTAAGAGAATCCTTCTCTGTCTTTATGTTTTACATTCATTTAACTTGTAGTCCACTTATATTACATGTTCTTATATGCCGATGCTATTCTTCGCTTATGTCCTGTGCTTTTGATATACACCTTTTTTTTTATAAAAAATCATCAGGCACTAATGGTATGTGAATACACATGAGTATTAATAAAAAAAAAAGATCCCAGAGTAACCCTGCACCCATTGGTGAGCCCACATATGGGTCCTAGCAAAATTAGGCAATGAGTGGGTCAAGCTACTGTTTATTAATATGCACTATTCTATGCCTTTTATGCAGATGTCCCAAATGTGTAGAGCTAAAGCTGCCTCAAGAAGGTTCTACATTCTGGTTTGTTATGCTTACGTGTCTTGGGTTTTATTAACTCCTTGCTAGTTTACACTTATTTAAAAATATTTGGAGAGAGGTGATTAACAATATAATCCTGCACAGAAAGTTTTGAAATTATACATACCATTTTGAACACTGCAACATTCTAGGATCTGGAACTTATGATATGGAATTTCATGTTTTACTTCAAAACAAAACTAAGCCTGTGTCATGCATATGGCAAGTTGGTCTTAAACCAGATGCATGGATGCTCTTGGATACCTATCTTTACTAATTTCATTGCCAAAAATTTAGTACCTATACATCTGCCAGTAGAATTTTTTTTTTTCTCAGAAGGGCTGTAGTTTTATATTGACATATGATTTGTTTTGCCCTTGCCATGACTTTTCTTGGAACTGTCAACTGTATTATAAAATCTTTGTTGATGGTCTATTTTAGGTTTGCGTTATTTGTGATATGATTTGTTTTGCCCTCACCTTTGCCATGTCAACTTTATTATGAAGCCTGTGTCATGATTTTCCTTGATATTTATCTATTTTCCTCTTTCTTCTCTTCTAACTCATTTTGTAGCATGGAAGTTTTTTTCTTTAGAGAACTATCTGCTTGCAGCACGCAGGATTGCTTTAAAATTTCATGGAGCTCTCACAAGTTGGTGCATCCGAAATCAAAGTTAGCAAATGTTAGAAGTGCACATTCTGAACAATCTCTAGATGGTTGGCTATATTGCTTAAAGAATGGCCAAGCTCGAACATCTAAGCTTCCTCATTTTGGTTGGACAGGGTACAATTGTCATAAGAATCATTATATCTGCTGCTTGTTTTTCCTCCTTGAATGGAAATGTGCTAATCTTACTATCCATGCATGTGAAAATACTAAATTCATGGAGCTGTTTTTGTTGGCATCCTTAATAAAAGCAAAGTAAATATGCCAAGTTGGTTGAGTATGATGCTGCAAGACGACACCTTACTCATTAGTTGATTCCATACCAATCTATAACGACACAAAATAGTGAGAAATAGGAAATTTAAATGATCAATAGGGTGCCTGTCTTCAGAAATATTGCAAGATTAGCTTCAACTCAATCTACATTATCTTTGAATTCGAAGAAAAGGCTTCTTGGTCCTGCTTTTTAACTTGATGTTTCGTATCGTCATTAAGCTCGTCACTAATCCTCCCCCTGATTTTCTTTCTAGTACTCAAGGTACTTTTTTTTTTTTTAAAAAAAAGAAGAAGAATCTGTTAGGATTTCATACTCCTGTCGAGGAAAGATACATTGTCTTTGGTAATTACTTGACCACAAAGCAGTGAAGAAACAATGTTATGACCCTGATGTTTCTATCATCCCGCATTTACCAAATGATCATCACCATGTAATTCACATTGATGACTCTGATGTTTCTGTCGTGTTGCATTGTTCATGACAAAGGACATAACGTCCATTTAAATCAGAAGATCTTTTGTTGGATGGGGCCTTTTGTATGTGCATTTTGGGTCTCTTTTTATGCATATGTCTAGAGACTTGAGGATCTGGCCTTAGGGAAATTGGAGTCTCAGTATTTTTATTATACATGAAGAGTTTATTTCAATGTTTTTAATTTAAGGATTCGAAGACATGGATTCAGCTGAATCCTTTTTGAATCTTTCTAATTTCTGTAGTTTCAGCCATAACTGATTAATAATGTCATTTCTGGCTGCTTCAAGTGGTTCTGCGTTTGATATGAGTGGCCTTTAAAACTTGCACTTTATTGCCATGTTGCCACAACCTGAGCTTACAGCAATTATTCCTTCGGCTGTTTAGCATCAAAAATGTTAGTGGGTTCGTGCTTTATGCTTGCTTGTCTGGAGGGTACATCACTAGAGCAGGTTGACTCTCAAGATCAGATCAGAGTTATCTGATTGAAGGTCTTATACTAAAGGCAGTTGCTATATGGCAACAGTGGTTCCTTGGTTAGAAATATGTGGATTTAGCAATCTGCATGGCACTTGATTTGAAACTGTTTATGAAGAAAACTGTTATTTTTAGAGCTTTTTTCCATGTTTGGTGGAGAAAATGTTTATGGAGTTTCACAATTTTTGGCTAAACCTTCAAATTTGTAATTTTCTTGTAGAGCATTAAGGCCGTGTCCAATATCCAAGCGGCGTTTGGTACCAGATGGAGTTGAGAAACCTGATTGGTCTATTGATGTGAGTCCAATTAATTCTCTTGACATGTTGTTCACTAGTTTCCATACTAATTGCCTTCTGGGAAGTTATTTGTGAACAGAAAAGGAGAGTGTCTACATTTTGTTTATTTTTTTGTGCATGTTTATTTAGCTATCTTTATGATGATTTAGGACGATTGAATAGTTGCTGTGACTTTCATGCCATTCTTTAGACAAGGATATTTATGTTCAAAATACATATACCAGACAAAAGAAGATTGGCCAAATTGTAATTTGTGACTACGCTGGTAGTCCTGCCATAGAACTTCAACTTATTTATGTTAAGCAATCTTGAGTTTGCAGAACATCTCAGGCTTCTTAGTGGAGAACTGGGAATTGATGGGGTGGATGTTAGAAATTTAGAATGTCTTACATTTGTCTCAAGATATCTTAATAATAAGTTAATAACAATACTTCTGGAATGGACTTACCCTTTCCTGAGGTGCGCTTTAGGACTATTGGAACAACACATTGTCTGTAGCAAGGCAGAACATTTACCATATATCTAATTATTTTTCCTTAATTTAGTAGATGCAGATCTGCCTGATGGTATGCATGTAAGCTTCTTTATAACTTGTACAGGAACTGTGCTTGTTGTATTAGCCTTTCAGAGCCATTATTACAGCATACTTTGTACTTATGGAATGAGGAAGGGGAGAAAGCATAATAAGATAAGAGCCAAATGAATTACATTGTGCTTTGCAAAGTAAGCACTCATCCATAGCATGTTGAAATGATGTGCAACCTGTTATATTCACTGGAATTCAGGAACTCAGTCTAGAACAATGCTTTTATTGGGGTGCCTCTGTCACATCTTCCTGAAAGAGTTAAAAACAGTTGCCTAAAAATGATTTTATATGGATGTAAAGATTGTTCGGCATGCTTTGTATCTGCTTGCTTCTGATTGATTAACCAGTACAGTATTGCTTATGTAATTGGGATTTTTGAGCATACCAAAACAAGGTGCTGCACAGCAACAGGAGTGACAAAAAATAAATAAAAGATAAAATGGTTAGAAAATAAAAAGCTGGAGGGATGAGAGGAGGGCATGTAGATATTTAGGACCACTAATACATATTGTTCTTCCCTTAATCTCTTATGCAATTACACTTTGAGAGTTAGGCCAAGGATCTTATAAAAAAAAATTCATTGTACCATGATCTATCTGAAGAAATTCTGACATCCTATGAGTTCCTTTTATGTGCCTTTCTGCAGCCAATTGTAAATTTGAGTAGAATCTTACTATTTTATGTAAATGTTGGCAGGGTATCCCGAAGACTGAGCTCAATAGTGACTTGCAGAATATTGTGGAGGTAGGCATGATTCATCTGTCGGATCCATTGTCAAACATTCTCACAAAACTAATCTGACATTTTCTTGGTTTGAATTTCAAAGATCAAGACGCCAGAGCAAATTGAACTAATGAGAGAAACATGCCGAGTAAGTATATCATACCCAAAGTTTTCATGTGGTTTTCTCTTTCTTCGTGGTTGTGGGTTGTTCTTTTCTAGAGATAGAGTTTAAGGGTTCAATTCAGCCAAGTTTTGGTAGAGCCTAAATTTGATTTAGTCTTGACCTGGCTAAGATTTCATATATCAATCACTAGGATCAATGTGAGGTTGAGCAGAGTCAAAGTTCATTCCATTATTGGACTAAGTTGGTGCCTCGACCTTGGTGCTTGATTTCGCTTGATTGCTTTCTGGTGTGAACCTGGAACCTCAAATGCAGTTACCACAGGTCTGGCTTAACCAGCATATTGATTATTGACATCCTCTGGATTTAAATTTTGGGTCAATGAATTACATTTTATTTTGAACTGCAATAGTAGGCAGTTAGATGGTGATTGTAGAACAAGACATTTATTGCTGTGACATATATTTTTTGCTTCTGTGGGCTGAGGTTCTGCAGTACCAATCAAATATAGTTGTTTCAAATAAGGTTCGCAGTTCAGTTACTGGACCTATGCTGGTCCATGGCTAGACCAGTACGGCCTCCGATCCGTTCTGGCATACCATGTGTCAGTATGTCAGAATGTACCACAAACTGATTGAGGGAGGAAGAGGAGGGGAGGAAGAAGGAAGAGAAAGCAAAGGAAGAAGAAAGCAGAAGAAGAAGAGGGAGGAAGAGGAGGGGAGGAAGAAGGTAGAGAAAGCAGAGGAAGAAAGAAGTAGAAGAAGAAGAGGGAGGAGGAGGAGGAGGAGGAGGAGGGGAGGAAGAAGGAAACAGAAGAAGAAGAGGGAGGAGGAGAAGAGGAGGAAGCATACCCAAAATCATGTCGGCGGTGCATGGTGGGTGGTGGAGGAAGAGGGAGTTGCGAGCCCTAATTATGGCTTCTTTCTCTTTGAACAATTCTTTTTTGGTTAATTGACCAGATCAGACGGTCCGAAATGGGGGCTGTCCGTGTCTCAGTTTGGGCTCAAACTTGTAAATTTTGCCTGGTATAAACCAAACCGGGTGAAATTGCCACCACTGATTTTAAATGGACTTATGGTTGTTGTCGGTTGTTCACTCTAGCTTCCACTAGTTTTTTTACAGGTTGGCTGGGTTGATTTGGGCCCATGATAAAGTTGATGTAACTATTTATTTGTTGGCTACATATTGCAGGAGAGTAAGGGAAAATAGATGGAATGGTGGAGGTTGGTTTCTAAAGGACTGCACCAAGAAGGCTGTAGCATGAATAGAAAATATGAGAAAACAAAGTAGTAGGATTTTAATTCATATTTGCCATTAATCAAATTTGAGAGAATAATCTTTTGTGGAAAAATTCTAGTCTTCAGTTGGTATGCATTTTAATTTTTTTCTTGGAAAAAAATAAATTCTTATCTGCATTTTGTTAATTTCCGATAATAATCATGCAATTATAAAGGGCATACATAGCGCATGAGGTTCCTGCCAACACGGGGTGTTGGGAGGGTCAATGTACGTAGTCTTATTTTTAAATATTTAAAAAGATTGCTTCCGTGACTCGAACCCTAGTGTCTCCCAGGTCATAAAGGAACAATATTACTGTTGTACCAAGGCCAGCCCTTAATAATCATGCAATCATGTATTGCTTTAATATATGCAAGAACAAACATTTATGTCAGCTTTATCTCTGTTTTTTTATTATATCTTCACAATCATCAGATTGCTAGGGAGGTTTTAGATGCCGCTGCTTGTATCATCCGACCGGGAATTACCACAGATGAAATTGATGAGGTTGTTCATCAGGCAACAATTGCTGCTGGTAAGTTATCCCTAGTTTTGCATGAAAATTGTCAGGTGCACCTGTATGACTACTGTTAATCTTGTAGCATATTTGGTCACCATTGGTTTAGGATATCCGTTTGTGCAATATAATTTGCTGTAGTTTATTTGAAAATATATGTATGATATTATTGATCGGATTTCTTGTCATTGTATGTGTAATGGCCTATTGGAAACTCTTCTTTATGTGTTCTAATATAGTCTTATACTTGGAGGTATATAACACTCAATTTCTAAAAGGAAGATACCACAACTTATAACAAAAACCCAAATGGCTTTATCCTGAAATGGCCACTCTCGACTTTTTTTTTCTCCCTCTTGTATAGCTAAGGGAATTTCTTGGATCCTTTATCCTTTTCTTGTCTCCCTCTTGGGCTCTACTTTGGTTGATTTGAAGGCAAGAGAATGCTTATAATTTTCTCTGACTTTTAATGTCATCTAAGCCATTAAATCACACAAAGATACTGTTGAACTTTTTTGCATGTGATCGCCATATAAGTGAACATGCATTGTATGGTTAAAGGCCCATTTATACAAACATACATTGACATTCATGAAGATGCATATGTTTAGTAATTTTTGAAGCCTTATTAATTATTCTGGTAACACTGGAAATTGACCTGCAATTGCTGGTATGTATTGAGCAGTCATCTAAGTTTGCATAATCTGCCTCTCCAATTTTTTTTCCAGGTCTTCAATTGAAGGTGACGAGTGATTTTATTTTATATTGAGATTTTAAATATAAAATTTTAATATATTTAGGGCGGGCTTTGTTACAACAGTAAGGTTGTTCCTTTTCAATCTGAGAGACTAGGGTTCAAGTTACGGTAACAATCTCTTTAAATATTTAAAGGTAAGACTGCATACATTGACCGTCATTGGCAGGTATATATAATATGCATTGGGCACGCCCTTTATTGAGATTTTAAATAGCCATGCCATGTCAGTCTGTATATGTAATATGCATATCAGAGTTTTCAATTTGGGAAGGGAACTAAAAAAAGACACATAGGAAGACATAATTCTGATTGATTTTGTGTACAATTATGATACAGTAAAAATGGAATCACAGAAACTAAAAGGTTTGCATCTCATTATCAAGGATCACCCTTTTACGAATGCTTATCCAATATGCAGATGTATATCTGAGATAATTTTATGAAAGCTGATGCTACAGTTCAAGTAACACTGCTTTCTTGTATTCTTTGTGTTCAAGTTACTATATAGTTGTTTGAATTTTATCTCTCTTTGTTTATGCATGCGGACATTTTTTTAATATATCAGTTTTTCTTTACTGATATTCATATAAATAATGGTAGTTTTAATCTCTTGTTTCCTTTCTCAGGAGGGTACCCGTCCCCATTAAACTATCATTTCTTTCCAAAGTCCTGCTGCACGTAGGTTTTTTTTCCAATACACCTCATATTATCATTACATCACGAAAATCTCATTGCTGCAATGCTGAAACTCTAGGTTATGCAAATCTACAGGTCTGTCAATGAAGTTATCTGCCATGGAATCCCAGATGCAAGGTGCATATTTTATTGTGATGTACTTTTTTCAAGTGATGGTGTCCAATTTGCCTTTCATTACCTTGCATCTACATCAGACTTGATAAAAAAAAATTAGCATTTTTTTTAAAAAAAGAGAAAATTTTAAGATGACAATATCAGTTTATTAACATCCACAGCAAGTTCACTGTAAGAGAAGGAAACCAAATGATCTAGTTTATGTAATATTAGCATGTTTAAGTCAAAGTTGACTGGCAGAAAAAGGACTTCTCTCTTATCTTGAGTATCTGGCCTTTTTTATTCTTTTTTCCTCTTTGATGGTTAAACTGCTAGTTCACTAGTTTCAAGACATTGCTGACAACCTTTAGATAAGCAAAAAGTCGAGTGTGATTGCCCTTTAGTTGAACTCTCTGATTTCATTATGTTATGCTGGCACCTCTTTCGTATGTATCATTTTTAATCTCATATTATAGACCATCAAACTCAAATATATTTTCACTCAGATTTTAAAAGATCATGATTTTGTAATTTTGACAAAGAATTATGATGCCTAATGATTTTTAGATTCATCAATATAATACTCGTGATCGGTCAATCTTGTTGGAAAGAAAAATGCATTTTGTGTGATTTTTCCAGGAAGCATGGACTGGAAATGATTGCAAATGCAGAAGCTTAACAAATCAACAGGTTAAAGTTGTTCAACATGTGATTACTCTTAGAGGTCCGGAGCAGATCTGCAACAGAAAAATGAACTTTCTAGTGCTTACTGTAAAGGAAGTAGAATGATTTATGGCATTTAAGTTAATGCATTGCTGAAGTTGCGTAATTAAAATTAAATGAAACGTGTGACTGCCTTCTGAGACAATATACTGCTCGACTTTAGTCGTGTAGATGAGTAGGTGGGTTTTATACTATCCTTTCCACCTAGTACTATTGATATTACTCACTTTACAGTTCCTGTTCTTTCAGAGACTGCAATTAGATGTCTAAATGTAAAGTTCATTTGCTGCATACTTTTTTATTACTCGTTGGTTTTTTTCTTGTGTCATACAATTTAATCAGCAGAAGGTAGAATTATGCTGTTTATCATGTTGCAGGAAACTCAAAGATGGTGACATTGTCAATGTTGATGTAACTGTATATTACAAAGGCGTCCATGGTGAGGTATCTGATACTCTATTTTGTTAGCTTTCTTTGTTGTCATCATTTTTAATTCTTTTGGATTTAAATATGTAGGTGATCTAAATGAAACTTTTTTTGTTGGGGAAGTGGATGAAGCTTCTCAGCAGCTTGTTCGTTGCACATATGAGTGCTTGGAGAAAGCTATTTCTATAGGTTATTTTTAAATATCTAATTGATAACTGTCATGGTTCCTTTGCAATGTTGCTTGCTACGGAATTTCATCGATATATTATGTTCTCTTTGATTAGCTCCTCTTGACCGTTTCATTAGATTAATGTCATGTCTATTTGTGAAAATATCTGAACTTTCTTGGTTCTCAAGCTCAGTTAAACCTGGGGTTCGATACCGTGAGGTTGGTGAAGTTATTAGTCGTCATGCAACGATGTCAGGCTTCTCTGTGGTAAGTTGTGATGTAAGATGTATCCTGTTATTGACTTAAACAAATGACATGTAATGTTTGGGATGCAGGTGAAATCTTACTGTGGACATGGCATCGGAGAGTTATTTCACTGCACCCCAAATATTCCTCATTATGGAAGTATCCTTGCTACTAGTCTTTAAGAAATAAAGCACAATATTTTAAAAATTTTGGTTAGGTTTGGTTTGCAATCCTACATGTTAAATAGAAAGATGGAGAATTGCAACTCTAGAAACCAGGCCTCAGATAAAAACTTGGTCATGCTAATTGTCGACCAGAGTTTCTTAACTACAGTCTAGTACTGTTGGTAAATGGTGCTGGTGCCTTAACACTTGAATAGGAAACAAAGCAGTCGGTATCATGAAAGCTGGACAAACTTTTACAATAGAGCCAATGATAAATGCAGGTAACTAATTAGTATTTGTGTTTGCTCAACACCCTTTGTTACTAATATGCTTCAACTTTTCACTCAGGAGTATGGCGTGACCGGTTGTGGCCTGATGGTTGGACTGCAGTTACTGCAGATGGTAAACGAAGTGCTCAATTTGAGCACACACTTCTGGTGAGTAGATCCTTTACACTGTTGGCTGTTATCAATTTGCACGATGATCTGATCTACTAATAATCTTCAACATTATCATCATATGCTTACGCATTAGTTATGCCGTCCAGGTAACAGAGACAGGGGTTGAGGTTTTAACAGCACGGGTGCCCTCATCACCTGATGTCTTCCCTTGGTTAAAGTTAAACCACCCTTAACCATGTTTGGTTCTGCAATGGGCTGCTTTTCCTGGAGCCAGTCAAGCCAATTGTTCAATTTGGTGATTTATCTTGATGTTATGCATATGTAAACAATTTTTTTACACAATAATAGTTGTCTTTTGTGTTGACAATGTGAAATCTTTTTACTCAGAATCAACAGGCTGTTGTGCATCTCAACCTTTGGCCTGCAAGACCTCACATACATATCCCATGGTTTGATATATAAAAGGGGTAATTTTCTTGATGAATATTTTATAGATGAGGTGAACTTGATGAATATTTATTGTTCTGCGCTGAACCGAATCTTATAAAAATATTATAACACAGTATTTTTATTTTTACCAAATTTTGAAGGAATATTATGTTTTAATACAGTTTTTAATATTATCAAAAAAATATTATAGTATAGTATTTTTTTAATAAATTTTATAAGAATATTATGTTTATAGTATTTTTATAATGCATTATGGTGCTTTCAACAATATTAGTAAAACACTAACACGGTATGAAAATATTGTAACACAGTTAATTTTATTTTCAATAATATTAAAAAACATGTATAAAAATATTGAAACATATTATCTGTTTCCTATGTTATAATATTTTTTTGATATTACTAAAAATACTATAATGCAACTTAAAAATATTACAGTTGGATTGAGGTATCCATAAAAAAAAAAGGAAAGAGATAGACGATTGGGGAATTTTACATAATAAGTTAAAAGGAGTGTTAGGAAATTTAAAATAGAGGGTGCTTTTCTGAAAAATCTAAAACGATATATTTTTTTTGAGAATTCATTCAAAACAATAAAAAAAAAAATTATGACAACCATATATAATAATATAACGAAATGTAAGCAAAAAATAGTAAAAATGTAACATAATAATTTACTTAATCTTAGCATGATTTGAATTGCAAAGCAAACGCCCCTTAACGTCGTCGTCTATATCGAATTTGGCATATCAAATATTTATTATAAGATCTTGACAGTTTATCCAAAGGTTATATATATTCAAATTTTTTATCTTTAAAAAGAAAAGAAAAAAGCGCCTGGGCCCATTACCTGCTGTATCGAGCACCCATGAGTTCGCGGTCCAGGCTGTCTGGCTCCTGGGAACGTTCCAGAACCAGAGAGAACGCTCCGACGGCGACTTCATAAGCCCCATCTTTCCTCCTCCTCCTCCTCCTCCTCTCACTCCCTTCTCCATGCGTAACCAATTCTAACCCATTGACAGCCGTTCTCCACCTCGTTCCCTCCTCCATGGCCGAGGAAGCCAAAGCCAAGGGCAACGCTGCCTTCGCCGCCGGCCGCTTCGACGACGCTATCCGCCACTTCTCCGAGGCCATCGACCTCGCCCCCACCAACCACGTCCTCTACTCCAACCGCTCCGCTGCCTATGCCTCGCTCCAGCGCTATGAAGCCGCCCTCGCCGACGCCCGCAAGACCGTCGAGCTCAAGCCTGACTGGGCCAAGGGCTACGGCCGCCTCGGCGCCGCCCATCTCGGCCTCGGCGACGCTGGCCAGGCCGTCTCCGCCTACGAGAAGGGCCTCGAGCTCGATCCCGCCAACGAGGCCCTTAAGGTCGGCCTCTCCGACGCTCGGGCCACCGCCGCTCGGTCCCGGGCCCCCCCGCCGCAGGGGGCGTCCCCCTTCGGCAAGATCTTCCAGGGGCCGGAACTGTGGGCGAAGCTGACGGCCGATCCGACCACCAGAGAATACCTTCAGCAGCCGGATTTTGTCAAGATGATCCAGGATATCCAGAAGAACCCTAACAACATCAACATGTACCTTTCGGATCCGAGGATGATGCAGGTGATCGGGGTTCTTCTCAATGTGAAAATGAGGGGCCCCACGGATGAGATGGCGAGCGAATCTCCCCAGCCAGAGCAGGAGAAACCACAGCCGGAGCCAGCGAAGAAGGCACCGCAACCGGAGCCAGAGCCGGAGCCCATGGAGGTGCCGGAAGAGGCGAAGGATGGTAAGGAGAGGAAGGCCAAAGCGCAGAAGGAGAAAGAGGCAGGCAATGCTGCTTACAAGAAAAAAGATTTTGAGACGGCAATTCAGCATTATACTCGAGCAATGGAGCTGGACGATGGAGACATCTCTTATCTCACTAATAGAGCTGCTGTTTACCTGGAGATGGGAAAGGTGACTAGCTCACTTGGTCTTTTTCACTTTTCTGAGAACATTGAAATGCTCATTCAAATTATTGAATCCTGTAGAGGTTTTATTTCCATTGATATTGTATTGCCAATTATTTGCTTTTGTTTGTTTTCTTTGCACTTAATATTGTGCATGAGATTTTCTGTTGGCACTAATATTGGCTATCCACTTTTGAAATTTCAAGTTGAATGTGTGAAATGCTGATAGATACCATTGATTAGTTGATTGCTAGCTTTACACTCTCTTGCTTTATAAGTTAGCAGCAGTGGTTGCATGGTTGTAGAAGTAAAAGCTTATGTCTGCAAGGATTATTAGTCCTGTACGTATCTAGGTTGAGCTTTGAGGTTGACATAAAGCCTTTGCATCTGAAGTCTTGAAAGTTTGTAGTTGTTGGTGGAAGTCCTGAAGGGAGTAATTATTTTCTTGAAAGTCTTGAAAGTATTATAAGAATTACAGCAGCAGTCAAACTATTATGACAAATGTATATGATTTATTGTTGTTTCCAAATCACAAATTTCATCGGCTTCTTTAATTGTGCAGAAGGATTACTGGCATCTTTTCTCTCCTTTTTTCTTGCAAATTTTATTTTATGCATGATAGTTTATTTCTAAACCTTGATATGTCCTATCATCAGCTCTACTTTCTCCCTTTTGCATTCTTCATTCTTCATTCTTATATTTGAATTGGCGAGCAATCTTATTAGTGTCTTTGTACACTCAATGTCAAAGATTAGATCTTTGTCAAGATTTTATTATTACTTGTGGCTTTTGGTGTGCGTTTTTTTCTTTCCTGTTTAATCAAGACAATTAAGTAATGGATTGAAGATGATAGAAACCTTGATTTTCTGATATCCGTTTAGTAGGTTTATAGACCAAGTTTTGTTTTTTTTGACATTTAGTTAGTGTTATCAACTTATCTGTGGCTTGCAGTATGAAGAATGCATAAAGGATTGTGATAAAGCTGTTGAGCACGGCAGAGAGCTTCATTCTGACTTCAAAATGATAGCAAGGGCATTGACCAGGAAAGGGACTGCACTTGTTAAACTTGCCAAATGCTCCAAGGACTATGAACCTGCGATCGAGACATTCCAGAAGGCCCTGACCGAGCACCGTAACCCTGACACTTTGAAAAAGCTTAACGATGCTGAGAGGGCAAAGAAAGAATTAGAGCAACAAGAATATTTTGATCCAAACATAGCCGATGAGGAACGTGAGAAAGGTATTGTTCTTCCATTTTTAATATGTTTATGATCTATATTTTTATCTATGGCCTTCTAGGAGTAATCTGTTTTTCAATTTGTTTTCCCTAGTTCTTTTCTTCATATGTATGCTTAAATTTAGTTAATTCTTACCATAGTTGAGTATTGAGCTTGTGATGGTCCATGAGCTCTTGAGGAAGGATGTAGAGTGTAATTTTGCACCATTCTTCCATCTATCTGTTGCTTCTCTATCTGAATCAATGATTTAAAAAGCGCTAGGCGCTAAGGTTCAAAAACGCTTGAGGCGCTAGGCGCTCGCCCGAGCGAAGCGAGGCGTTAAAATATAAAAATATAAAATATAATTAATAAATATAATTATTTAAAATTTTAAATAATAATATGTTATTAAATTAAGAAAATCTAAGATACAAAATCACAATGTCACATTAACAAAAAGTTTCAAATAAATAAAAATTAACAGTATTAAAATCAAAATAATATATTAGTAATCTATTAATAGTATTGAAAATTAATCATTTCAAATAAACTTAATAATATTAACAGTATACAGTATACGTATACTGTTAAAAGGAAGTGTAAAGGTGTGTTGAGCCTGCTGATTGAGAAAAGAGGAAGCGTCAACGGCGAGCGGCGACGGCGATAGCGGCGAGCAGCGGGAGGCGCGAGCGGCGACAGCGGTAGCGTTTGCGAGCAGTGACAGCAGCGGGATCGGGATTGGCAGTGGCGAGGGTTAGGGTTCGGTTGTCACTTATATCAGTTTTAGTTGGTTCGATTGAACCAACTAACCATCATAGGCCGAACCAGGACCGAACCAGACCTAAAATCCTGGTTCGGTCGCCTTGGTTAACCCGGGCGCTCGCCCGAAGCGCCCAATGCCTGGGCTCGGGCGAGCGCCCAGGCGGCGCCTGTTTGAAGCGCGCTGCCTAGGAGATTAGCGAGGCGCTCGAGCCTCGCCTCGCCTCGCCTCGCCCGAGCGCCCGAGCGCCTTTTAAAATCGCTGATCTGAATTCTTGTTTATGCATCAGTCTTCTTTAAATTCCTTGACTGGCTGTTGCATAGTTATGCTTGTTATAAATATTCTAGTGCTCGCCTCTTTATCTTGAAATTGAGGTTTATTATCTATTACATATGCATGTAGCTAAAGCGAGAAATTTCTTTGCCTGTCCAATTTCTAGAGGATCAAGATATCTGAAGAGGAAAATGACTAGAGTCATCCTGACAAGTCATGACATTCGATAGCCACAGTTTGTTTGGTGGGAATTCTCTGATACACCTCTACGTATATCTGAATTGAAAAATGGCCAGTCATCTTTACTGAGTCATAAATAACATATATTGCGGAACAAATTTCATGGCAGTTCCAATCTGGAGTTATTTTTTCTTGTTTTATAGGTCTGAATCAGTAAATACTGCAAGTTGTCTTTACCAGTTGATCAAACTACTTGTGTAAACAAACCATTAATTGAAGTTATAAATCTTATGATATTTAACAAAATTGCAGTAAATTCATATTTTTTCTGTGAAGAAAGCTGCAAGTCCTTTAGTTTCTTTATGGAAGTGTACATGTTAGAAGATTCACCACGTATTTGTTGGATATCTTGCCTTACTCTCTAACCCCCAATTTATCTTTAGGCTTCTGTATCCACAAAAAGGGTCCATCATATCCGTCACCACTGTGTTTCTGAGCTTCAAGCAGCGTATTTATTGTTGTGTTAACTTGGCATATGTTCTAATTAAAATCCAACACTAGAAAAGTTACAGATGCAGCTTCAGTTTATTTTTGCACTGTCTGATTAGATGAATGGTGACCTTTATTAGCCAAAAATGACAATTGGTTTATTGATCACTATGCAGGCAATGAGCTTTTCAAGCAGCAGAAGTATCCAGAAGCAGTGCAGCATTATACGGAGGCCTTAAAGAGAAACCCAAAGGATCCAAGGGTACTTTTTGTTCTCATATCTTACTTAAAGATGAACATAAAAAAAAAAAGTAAAAGTGCATAGCTGCAGATCATCTGTCTTTAAGTGGGTTGCAAGTTTTCTTTTACTTTTGCATTATGTTAATAATGGTTCAGCGGCTTGCAAATCTAGGAGCACTGTCTTTTTTCTTAAATCACTTTTATAGTCAGTCGAGTTTCTTCCATGGCAGCTGCAATACTTTGTTCTTGTTTAATCTGTTTGAGAAACAGAATTTGCTTCATTTTGTTTGATAAATGAATATATCTAGTTAATTCATTACTTGTTTTCTTCCGATTGACATTCGATCTGGTACTTCCAAAGGTATACAGCAACAGAGCTGCATGCTACACGAAGCTGGGTGCTTTGCCTGAAGGTCTGAAAGATGCAGAGAAGTGCATCGAGTTAGATCCATCTTTTTCCAAAGGATACACGAGGAAAGGTGCAATCCAGTTCTTTATGAAAGAATATGACAAAGCATTAGAAACATATCAGGAGGGTTTGAAACATGACCCTAACAATCAGGAGCTGATGGATGGCATCAGGAGGTACTTCGTTTTCTGCTAGTCTGCCAGTTTTGCATCAAACTATCATTCTTCTGAAGTTGCTTGATACGATAAATATTGTCTACTTCAATGGTTGCAGTTGCGTCGAACAGATTAATAAAACAAACAGAGGGGAAATCAGTGAAGAGGAATTAAAAGAGAGACAGGTAAGCACATAATCTTCATGTGTAAATGATAAAGTGTCTTTGACTTCTCCTTTGTGATTTGTTGTTCACTCTGTTGTTTTGCAGGCCAAGGCTATGCAGGACCCGGAAATACAAAATATTCTTACAGATCCGGTTATGCGACAGGTATTGTTTGACTTGTTAATAGTTATACTCTTATCTTGTCGCATGTTACCCGTGTGCATGTTGGTTTTCTAATCCCGTTCTTACACGTCTTCCAGGTGTTGATCGACTTCCAGGAGAACCCCAAGGCTGCACAGGATCACCTCAAGAACCCTCAGGTGATGCACAAGATACAAAAGCTTGTGAGCGCAGGGATTGTGCAAATGAGGTAGAAGGTGAAGTTGTGGATGGTTTTCTTGGCGTCGCCTCGCTTTATGATCACATTACTTGTAGTTTGATGATGTCTTTGACAATGTCTTTAAAGATACTTGTCTCAGTGAAGTTCACTTTGTGACTTGTTTGTTTTTATGTTTTTGAGTCTTGTTTTCTATTTTGGGCTAATCGGCATGCAACACATGGAATTTAGACTGCTTATGCGATGATTAATGAACGTCATGGCGGAAAATTTCATAAACTTATAAAATATTTTATTTCCTACGCACTTATTTAAACGTGTTATATATTCTTTTTCATGATCATTTAAAATTTTTAATTATAGGTATTTTTGAATGATATGTTACCAAAATTAGATTCTTTTTGGTTTGATCATCTGATCTATTTTAATTTTTTTTGTTCAGATAAATTTTAAGACTATAATTCTGTGCTTCATTTTTTTTTTCACACCATAATATTATCTTTTCTTAAGATCTTTATCTACAATAATATTTATGCCAATTTTATATTTAACTCTTCTAGTATATTAAAATTTAAAGCTAATACTATTAATCTCTTTGGATCTTTCGATTTTTCTCCTAGTCAGTTAGTTTAATTTGATTAGTGCATCTATTAAGCTCTACCATTTTTGTTGAAAGTGTTTTTATATTCTATATTGCTAAACTAGTCCTAACTCCCGATGATGTATGAACATTATCCGATGGGAATCTCTTGGCATCTAAAATTGTTGACGCGAATCTCAAAGGCGTCAATCGAACGCGTGCACCAACGCACGCTGCGGATAACGACCTCCAGACAGACATCGAACCCCGACGCGTTCGGTACGAGACTCGACCACGACCTCGACCAAAAGTTCGGGTCGAACCATGTGCTTTCCGGGTGGGTAAGAACTATCCCCATCTTTCCCTGACCTTCCGATTTTAATCCAACGGTCAATCACACTCCACCACCGGGGGCGTCCCCCATGCAACCATATAACGACAAAGTCAAATCGACTGAGAGCGCGACGCGGTCCCCTCACCTCGCCTAACGCCGCCACGTTGCTCCTTCAGGACTCACGTGACGCATCACCGTTCGCGGTCAACCTGGATCAGCCTCAAGACACTCCACCTTGGCTCGGCTGTCCGTTTCAACCAGGAAACACGCACTCTGCCAATCAACCATCTCATAACCCGATTAAAGATAATTATAATTAAAATAAAATAGGAAAGGAACTGTATTTTTCCCATTATTAATTAAAAATTATGATCTTACCAGTAATTAGACGCAGTACTTTCCCAACCCATATGGTTGGGCGCGAAGCTGTTTGCTGCCTGACACACAGCGAACTGTCAGCGGAGCCATCGAGCGAGAAGAGCTGACGTTGGTTTGAGCGCCTCTATAAATTGAGCTCTCGGGGCGCCCCTCTTTCCGTGGCGCGCTCGGTGGTTCCACGCGGCGTGGAGGATAGCAGAAGTGCGGGAGCGATCGGCGGCGATATTCCTCTTATCGTTGAGTTCTATTGTTGGGAAGTCTCTTCTTCTCGTAATCGCTTCCCGGATTTGGGTTTCCGTCGCTGTGAGTCCTTTCAACATTTACCTTATTTAACTAGGGTTTGGGTTTTGTTGGTGGTTAAGCACGCTCGATATGGTTATGTCTAGGTTTTCCGTGCCAGAGATTTACAATTCTCTCAAATTAATTATTAGCAAACAATGATTTTTATTTAATCTTTGTTGGTTTTTGTTCTGATTTTTGTACGTTTGTTCATTTCTCGGCCGTCAGGTAAAAAGGTAAAAAAGGAAAAAAAAAGGTTTGCCTTAATCCACCGTCGCATCACTCTATTATGGACTTACATCATAGGTAGCGTATCGATAAATATCATAGATTTGTAGTGGAAATTACTACGTAATGTTTAGATTCTGATATTTGTTTATTCAATTTGTCATAAAAACATAATGAGTTCAGGAAATATTTAAATTTGGCCGTTGCTTAGATATTTGATAAGAATGTTGGTCAGATTCATCTCTTTGTTATATGTTATATTCCTCTCCATTGCTGCTGTCTTTCTGCCTTAAGGAGTGATCATTAAGTAAAATTGTTATCGTTCTTGGGTTGCAGTGACCTTGATCCAAGACAGTGCAACGAGAGGACCGGGTCATCCATTAGCTGAGAAATGGAGGTATATGGCAATTCTATGATTGCCGAGCCGAGCAATGTGATTTACTTGACCAGTATTCTTAACAAGGGTGGGCCGGTTCCTAGTCACAAATGTGACAAGAGATGCCAAAATGAGCATGTGTTTGGAAACATGTACCGCTGCAAACTAACAGGATTGACGCACATCTGTGATAAAAATTGTGACCAGAGGATTTTGTACGATAACCATAGTTCTCTCTGCAGAGTGAGCGGGCAGGTTTTCCCTCTTTCGCCAGCAGAAGAACAGGTGGTAAGAGGACTGCGGAGGAAGCTCGAAGTCACGAAAACTGATGGCTGTGCTTTTAAGCGCAGACGAGATGCCCAGCTGCATCCTTCTCCTTTTGAGAGGGCTTTTGCTGCAGTCTCTCCAATATGCAATCAAATTGGAGATGGCATGGATATGAGTTAGAGCTGATTTGGTCCCTCCATCTCCGTTTCCCCCTTTGTTTCTTCTCTTGCCATCTTTCTTTTGGATGGAGTTGAGAACTTTTGTTCTATTATGGGACCTGATATCGTACTATATATGTCATGGGTATGCAGGTAATCTGTAGTAACTTCAAATTCATGTTGCTCTGCTGTAAGTGTTTGAACAATTAATTGGGAGTATAATAATCTTGGGTACCAACTATGGAGGGCTACACCCCCTGAGAGGATTATCTCGTTTGATAAGTTCACACACATAGCTGCATCCTAGATGGTCTTTTTTACTTTCAGTGCACTATTTACCTTTTGAGCTTATCATTTTCTATTATCTTGTTGATAATATCATGCATGGTTGATTTGGTTACTCTCTCTCTCTCGATCCTAATTAGGTTGTTCTATGAGCTTAACATTCTCTGATACTGTTTTATGAAATTTGATTAAAGATTAATTCTGTTTTTCTTGTAGGTCAGTGTGATGACTTAAAGAGAGGGCCATGCTAATTTCTTCTATATTTCATGCATTCATACTTTTTTTGTTAATAATTGGACTCACTTGATTTTTGCTTATTTCTTATCTTAATTTTTCAGCATATGACATTAATGTTAACTTGAATGGAAGGTTTATACAACGTGAAATAATCACTTTATATGTTGCTAAATTGAGGCGCAGTTTGGTTCTATTTTCTAAATTATCTTTTTATTACTTATCTTTACATGTCTCAACATCTATTATTTTGCAGGTGATTCTAACACTGAGAGATCAGTATATGAAAATTGTTATTCACTGAATTGATTTTAATTTTAATATACAAGGATTCATGGTCCCTAACCTGATATCTCAAATTTTCAGGTGGAAAATGATGACTGCAGTATGAATCTCTAATCATAAGATGTGAAAAGATGATGATTACTCTCTATGAGCTTGGTGGTGAGTTTGGTGCATTGGCTTCTCATTATCCAGTCATTAACAAAGAAATACAATGGGACATCCTTTCAAAGATACTGTTGATCTAGCAAGGAACCTTGCGGCTATCGTCATCGACAGCCATACAAAACCATCCATTGTTTTTCAAGGAGGTTTGTCGCTGCTTTGTGCGACCAAAATGAAACACCAGTCGCCTTCCTGCACGCATCAGTTAAAAATCATGGGCGGTCATTTTCATTGAAGAATTGGTAAAGCATAAAACTTCTACAATCTGAGGGTGGTCAGACTTATCATGACCACCACCAGCATTTCCACTGTTTGATAGATTGTATATTTATGGTAGCACAATAACATTCTCAAATTTTTACGTCTGTTGCATCCTGTTTTACGGACCAGAGTATTTTTCATTTTTTTGTTGTCTGTATCTTCTGCCAATCTCTTTGTCGGTGAGTAAATTGCTTGTTGCTCCAAGCATCTGCTACATTTCAGATTGTTCAGTTATGCTTTTTTACTTAATTTTTTTGCAATTGGAATAAGCCCCTAGTGAGTGAAAGAGTGTTAAAAGTGCTTCTGATCTTTAGACAGTAAGGACAAATTTCTCACATTGTTTGCCCTTAGTTTGTTTATGTGGTACAATGATTAATTTGTCAGAATGTTGTTGGTTTTTCCCTTGAAAATATGGTCAGTCACTATTCTGGCAAGGATTGTTTAAATCCCATCAGAAAATGAAAGATATATATTTCCATCTCTGCTACTAAGCTTGATGTTCGGATTCTACATGCATGGTTGAGAAACTGGTAAGAAGCTTCATTTTGAGCTGTACCTTCACATCTCTGCAGTCTGTTTTGAGATGTGCAGATCTATCTTCTTCTAGTTTTATATTATCATGATCAGATCTTTTCTTTTAGTTTTGTACCATCTGATTCGATTGAATGTGACAATTGATGTATTTGTTTATGAATCAGAATTCATTTTGAACTCTCGGAAGTCTTACAGTCTAATCAATCCAAAAACACTAATGTCGCATGTAGATGATATCTTACAAAAATATTTTTTATTCACGAATATAATGTGGTTGCAGAACGAATGCATACATGGCTTCCCTGGATATATATGTTCACATCCTTAAGCTCTTATGGCATGTGCCAAAGTCAAAGAGCCCTCCTCGGATCAGTTGACCTTCGTCTACGATTTTTCGTTGGGGTCAACGCATCAAACCACGTTACGGCTTATAGGGGCCCCACTTCGAGGAACCACTGCTCCTCCAATCACAAGGCGGGTACGTTTCCGTGCACGTTGATTAATGAATACAATCACTTGATCGATCATGGAGGGCATTTAAGTCATTGCACCTCAAGCCATTAGGGTTTGTTCTGGGGGCCGCTGGGCGCGTCTTCCCCGTTAAATGGCGACCCGCTGCGTCATCCTCCGCAGTTCGCTTTCAGAGGCGGCCGCAAGCTTCCTCCATGCCGTAGACGCAGGTTCACGAGTCTCTTCTTTAATGCCATCCTCGACTCTTCTGGCGTTTGTGTTTTCTTGTTCTTGTGATCTTTGATGGATCGAGCAAGCATTCAGGCAGCCCCTTTGCCGGATCATGGCATTGGTGGTGTTGATTTGCTCGGAGAACAAATCAAGCTTTTGCTCTTCAGATCGGTTGAGAGATTTCTTCTCCTTGATGCTGGTCTAGTAGGCCTTAGCACATCTCCTAATTCACCATTTACATCCACCCACCAACAACAGATCAGCACGTCTGATCTCTGTGTTTTCATCAGATCCGATCGAGCGACATCTCCTCCTGCAAGAATCGTTGATCCCACTCCATCAACATGCCTCAATTTTCCGGACTCATGATTTGTGTTAAATCAGGAAGAATGATTTGTTTTTCTGATGATGGATTTCAATCGCAAGCATGAATTCTCTGTTCCGACGAACAAATATTACTGGCATAAAATGATTTTCTATAGTCAAGCTGGTCGATGTCCTCAAAATTTCATTTTATTTATTTTGCATTAATTTGTGGTCTTTTCTTCCGCGTCCTTCACCATCATTGTCTCCATCATCTTTCCATGACGACTTCTTCTCGTCCCAAACTTTTCCATTCTAATGCCGTCTTCTTTCTCCTATACTTTCTGAAGCGAACAGCGAGGAGGAACGACATGAGAGAGAATTATAAGCTTGCAATGTATGAGTCAGTGTCAAGCCGATGTCACTGCTTGCGCGAAGTTTATTACCTCTCTTTGATGCCTTGAGAGAGAATTACAACGGTGCCTTAATCATAGGCCGAGATTTTTGATGCCGAAGTTTATTTTTTTTGGGTTCGTTAATAGGCTTGAATTGAGCCGAATCAATATTCGATTGAGTTCACAATTCAAATCAATTAATTAAATCAGTTTAAATATTTAATTTATAAATAATATAGATTTAATTTCATAAATATTATTATGTCATCTGATTGGATCAAGATTTTGGTTTTGATGGAATTCAATTGAATTATTTTATTAAAAATATATATTTAAATTATTTAAAATTATAAATTGGATTGAATTAATTAATTTTGAATTGGTTCGGTTAGAAAGATTCGGATGTGTTTTAGTTCAAATTTTCTTGTTTTAATAGAATTGAATTAAAAAATAAATTAATTTGGTTTGACTTTGAATGGTTAATTCGAATTGATTTTGGAACCCATTAGTAATGCTTAACAAAGATTTAGATGTCGTGACAAATGCTAAATTGAAAAAAAATAACTTAATTGCAATCTAATAATGTTAATTTCTGAATGTTTAAGAATAAAATTGTTCATTAGTTAATGTTTATTTATTTATTTTTTTCAAACCTAAAATGGTGAAGGTGAGTTTCGATAAATTATCAAAAGTTTTATTAGTTAAGATATTTGTTATCTTAAAATAATAATATTATTATTATAATTTATTTGCATATATAAGAATAAAATTTTTCATTCTATCAAAACAATTATGTAATTTAAAGAAATATTTAATTATATTTCAAAAAGATAAATTGGTTTTATATTTTTAAAATAAAAAATAATTATTTTATTTTAAATATATGAGGGTTAATTATAAATTATTCTTTGTAGTTAGGTTTCTTTAGATGTAGAGCGGCGAAAGGATAATAATCTATTGTGAGTCGGACGTAGCCTTCCTTTGTTGGGCTTGCAATGTCTATCTATGGCTTGAGTTTCCTTATGGTTCATCACGTTTGCTAGGTCACCTATGCCACTCTCACGACTTTGGTAACCACATATCTAGCATGGGGTTCGTGATGAGTTTGCCCCCTTTATACTTCTTGCGATCATGATTTTATTACCTCTCTTTCGTATTTCGTGGCATCCTCGTCCTCTAGCTCTTGCTTTTCCACCTTCGAGTCTATGGTGACTCCTCGAGCGAAGAAGCTTGTAGATATTCGACGAGCGACCATGGATGCAGGGTGGTTGAGGAGAGGGTGGAGGTCGTCCCGCTTGGTTAGAGTTGAAAGATTGGGTTGCAAATCGGATGGTAGTGCGTGGAGATCTTCGACAAACGATTGCGAAGCAACGATGTAGGGTGGTTGAGGAGAGGGTGGAGGCAGTCTTACTTGGTTGGAGTTGGAGGATGGGGTTGTAGAGTTGACGGTGGTGCGTGGAAGTAGTGGTTTGCATGGTTGGCTCGCACTAGGAAATGACCTCGGCCTTGCCACTATGGGTGGCTCTCGCGGTTGCGTTGTGATTTGTCATCAAGTTTCGAGAATTGGGTGCAATAGCAACAAGGGGCAGTTGGGCGATGCTACGACAACTGAAGGTGTTCTTCGAAGTGCTTACGAGGCTAATCACTATCGTCGCATCACGAGTCGCTTGGGTTGTTAAGCATGAAGCCCGAGTCGTTGACATAGTTGTTAAGTGGTGTCAACGCTAATGCAGAGTATCAGTATATGCGTCATTCTCTTCCTTTTCTTTTGTCTTAACTCTCATCACTCTCCCTCATCTATAACACTTGCGACCTCCAACAATGCTATCGTCCATCATCATCAAAAATATAATTATGATTTTGAAATTATATTTTGTTTATCATTTTTGTGCTTCCGTTAATTAAATCGAATGACGTTAGAGAAAATAGAGTTGGATGGTTTACTTTTAAAATTATATGAATTTCAATATAAATTTTTTAAGTATCGAAGAGATCCGACTATATATGATAATGTGTAATTAGCCTAATATATAAATACGTGAAAAATAAAAGTTAGCAGAAATATCAACCCTGCAGTTGTAAATATGTGAAAAAGATCAAC